TGACAGAGAAGTGATAAGGTTCGCAGTGATGATGACTTACTTGATGGTAGTGTAGTGGCGGCCGCTTTTGTAGCTGTTATTTTACTTGTGGTGGCTTCTGTTGTAGCTGATGTTCTAGTTTTCATGGCTTCTGTTGTGAATGATGTTATCGTTTTCATGGCTTCTTTTGTAGGTGACGTTCTAGTTGTCATGGATTCTTTTGTAGGTGATGTTGTGGTTGTGGTCAACTCGTTACTAATGTTAACAAAACTATTATCGGTGGTGATAGTGATGATTGTTGACGCGCCAGTGTTCGAAATTAAATCAATATTAACTGTTGTGCTTGCTTCTGATGCATCAATAGAATTGATATTTGACTTTGAAACAGTAACTGTGGTTGTCGCCGTAGTTCGTACAGTAAAATCTGTTGTCAAGATTGCAGCTGTATCAGTATTGATCATTGATGTCCTAACTTCGGTTGCCGAGCTCAAAGCTAGAAGAGTTATATCAAGAATGATGTATAAATAAAACAAAGTGTCTGCCCTTGCATTGGGCTATAGTGAATATAGTTTTACAAATTTTATACCCGTCTACTTCTTGATAACTAAATGTCTATATTAGAGGTGCAACGGTGACGGTGGTCACCAGTGTCCACGTAGCACTGGTGCATCGCTCACCAATGCATCGGTGTACGGTAAACCGTAAGCATCGGTCATAACGTACTACGATTTAAGTTCCTGAACTGCACTGATTCTAATCAAGAGTAAATTTGATCATATCATAATCGAGAAGTGAATATTCAGTCGGTACACATCTAGCTGCAGGAATATATGATCATATTCTCAAACTTCATAAGCTGTTCGCCTACAGTGACAACTTGACGATTACGCTACTGAGTGCATGCATATGACAGACAACATAGGCACTTTCATACAACTGACATTCGCTAGCGTAAAGATATCTGAATATGAAAGATACTTCTGCAGATAACTTAGCAATACCGTCTCAACTAATCCCCTAAGGCCAATAATGCCGGTTACGACATCAGAGCTCTCTAGCGATGGCTGGTTTCTACCAATGTTCGGACGAGTTGAGGTTCAGGGTAGCCAGTAGTGTCCATCTAGCAGCCATTTCCGTAGATTTTCATAGTTCCATCGGCCCTTTTCTTAGCCTGATCACTACAGTCGGGTATGAAAGAAATGTTTCATTTGCCATAGCGTTGTCTACTGAGGAAGAAGGCTTCGACTATTGCCGTTAAGGTCAATACCGTCAATTTGGAACCATGAAAATCTAAGGTGACGACCGATTTCTTCCATTATTCGGACGACTTAGGGATCAATGTATCCAGTGGTGCCGATATGTTGGTCTCCACTGTAGGTTTCTATACTCTTACCGGCTTGTTCCTTCACTATATCCTGAATTTCTGATAAGCATTTGCTAAAATCACTTTATTAGTGCAAGAGATCACCTCTTAGAGGAAGGTTAAGTGCGGGGGTTTTCAGGATATACCACGTATCATAAACACAAGAATACAATAAAAATTTGGTCGGTGCGCTGTTACCACCGGTCCATCAGTTCACCATACTACCAGTGCATCGTCATCATTACATCCCTAGTCTGTATTCAAGGCAAAGTTTTATGCTGCAAAAGTAGTATTGAAAGTTGATAGAAGAACTTAAAACTGCTAATAGGTTTGGAGCAAAAATTTTACTTGGACTATTGGTAGATTTTTTTGTCATTGTAAAGCCATCCGTCTTTTTCTCACGACTCAAAGTAGTCGCCAAGGAAATAACGAGAATAACAACTAGAATAAGTGCTAGAGTTATGAAAAATGAGAGACAGCGACATCGCGTTCCACATAGAGATCTTCTGTATGATTCCCTAAAAAAGAATAAACAATAATTTAATATAAATATGATTCCTATCACATAAAGGATATTAAACTTACCGGAAATTTCGTAGATTATCAATAACTGGTCTTGTAGAAGGAATCGGATCACTCTGCTGATGAGTAGGCACAATTTGCGTCATAGAAATCTATACAATGGCAATGGTTCAATAGAATTGTAAAAAAAATTAAATGACGCGATAACCAGCATTTGTGAATTTTCTTCTCTTTGAAAAAAAAAGGATTTTATTCAACAAAAATCTTGATGTTTGATAAATAGACGTCATGACTTTATTTGACAATGTCTTCATTCTACAGTACGAGATCATGATCTAAGCTATCTTTATTTTTTCTTTTTTTAATCATAGATGCTTTTTCAAAAAAATCCTGATTTTTGACATTTACAAAAGAAAAAAATACTTGAATAATAAATTTTATTACGAACAGGAGGAGAATGTATTTTCCAACAGTGGACGTGCTTATTTTTTGATTTGATTGCGTTTTACGTAATTACTTGCAAATTTAAAATAAGACATTTAGGCACGTTTATTAACGCATTTTTATCGTGTTTTTCTTCCAATGCATACTACATGTAAAACAAGATCTATTAAATCTGTTTTTTTTTCATTAATAAAATAAATATATAATTTGATGACAACTACATACTAATAAAATATCGCTGCCTATTTTCTGATCCAAGAAAACATGCGTTATAATATATTTTGATATTGCTCAATATTGTCAGATCATCTTGAAACACATAAGCAAGACAAATAAAGAAAAAATATCTATGTCACTGTTTGTTTTGAAACCTTTGTTTTTGAATTTTGACGATTTACATATCATTTCTCTTGATGTTTAAACTATATACCAAGATTTTTCTCCTTTAAAAAATGATCTTCTAAATATATAGTATAATTATTCATAAAAGCATTATAAAACTAACAGATCATTAATCATGCGTGCATATGAGTGATGTAAAAAAACAGCTTTTAACGTAGCTATATCTTAGGATGAGAATAAAGAAAAGATTTGAAACTTCCACACTAAACTACTCTTGTTAAAGCTTGTCTCTGTCCAAAGTTTCAAGTCGAGATTCGAAAACCAGTCTTTCGTGATGTTCCTGAGGGAAATCACGGCATGCTGCTAAAAAATACCATGAAAATACAGTATCTCAGCACCAATAAATTATTATACGGAACTCGTTTCAATATATTCACACCTTATTAGGAACTACATGATGAATATAGTATTGGATTAAAAGCGATTGAACAGTCCTTTGCCATCCTTCCTTTGATAGTTCCGTTCGAGATACTATGGAATCAGCAGGAATTAGTTGAAAATTCTTGAATGAATCTAAATCTCCTCAAAAACGTGCCAAGTCATTGCGAAAGAGTATCGTTTCTTGAAAACTTGTGAAAGTCCAATGTTTTTCTACTAAGTTCTAAGGCAATGTGTAATAGGCTACTGTTTTTTAAGTTAGGCAAGACTGATTATAATGAAAGCAGACAGGGTCACATTCAAAAACATCGTGTGTTATGTTGTTCAAAATAAATCCGAAAACAAACTATTTATTTTTGTCGAACATAAACTGATGCGCCTGCTTTGTGCTATCAATATTGTTTTGATGTATTTCACAGTCAAATATAATAAATTGTAATAAGTCCTTAACAAAATCAAGAGTATAGGATCGAATAATTATTGAACTAAATCAGGTTGATATTTTCTTCTAAATTAGAAGAAAACAATCGGCAAATGCCATGACGCGAATAAATGATACGACAGAACAAAGAAATTGTTTTTCGTTCTGTGTGTCTTCGGCCTGAAACCAGCGGTATTCAAGAGATGAAGGAAAATCATGATATCTTAGATTAAGAAATTTTCTATTCGAAATTGATTAACAGGCAACGATTAGTTGGTGATAATGTTTTTGAGAATGGAAACGAGTTCCGAACGAAAATATCTATAATAAGTAGCATATTTAGTTTTACCTTGAAGCTATATTATTTAAGATTCCATGTTGACAACAAGCTCAGCTAGTTGTAACAATCATTCAATTAGATGCAGTTGCGCCTCACGATTTGCCATATTTTGAATACAAAACAAGAGTCAGTTATATGATACAGTAGTTTTTCATGCATGCCTCTTTTTGTCTCACTCCCTTTTTGCAGTTTCTTTTCTATTAGGTCGCAAGACTATTGCACGAGAAAAGGATTTTTTGCCCAGCTTTGGAGATCAAGCGAAATTGAAGAAAAACAAGAATTCAAAACGCAAACTCAATGCTGGCGCATGTAGAGTCTCGTGTTGAATGGATGTACTAAGTTACTGTTTTGACACCAAAAGAATTATTTACTTTCTTCATTGTATTTATACAACATATACTCTATCTACGAACTTACATAGAGAAAGCAGTACTTAAGGGAATCCATGGTACATTTAAGGTCGACCGTTGAAAATATGTTTGTATTGCTAATGACTACAGATACAAATCTCTCTAAACAAACCAATGAGTACCACCAAGCCATTCATGAAGGACCGTTTACGCATGTATTGTTTCTCCTTTTTCTTTTTTTTTTTGCTATAATCAATTTCATAACATTACACTATGTTCTGTTGATTTTTAGACAAAATAGCTTGTGATTATGTATATCAAGTCACTAGATGTGATAGGGCAAGTAATGACTATTTGAAAAAAATATAGAAAACCGACATGAACAGAGTCAACATGATATCTATTATAAAGAGTTTTGTTGGAAACATAGTTTGCTCTGGTGCAGATCAGATTTCAATATGTTTCTTTTCACTTCCATATATACAATATGATTCTTTCTATTTTAATAACGGGCAACAGAAGCTGACATGGACCGATGGATTAAAAATAATTTGAATATACGTAGACAACCTAAATGTCTAATTTTAATTAGTCCAACATGCGTTGATACATAAACAAATAAATAAAATTTAAGAAAAAAACAGCTATCCTGACCAAAGCGATCGATTAATAGAATAAAGCCACGTGACCGTAAATGTATCTGTGTTTTGATGAAATAGTGATAGAAGAGCTGTTGTTTGCTTTTTTTATTCTAATCAGGTTAAAGACCATAAGAGTGAAGATTTCCCGATCACCACTCAAATGCCTGCTATTGTCCTCATAAACCCAGGTCAAGCTGGCTCTTTATTAGGCGTACTCAAAACTCCAGCCGAAGAAGAAGCCGCAGCTATTTGGGTCGAACCAGCTTACATTCGCGTATTGGGTAATTATAGCAGAAAAAAGATAAAAATTAACCGCATATTTATCTATGCATATGATTTTTAGAACTAGGCGAGTACTTCTACAAATCCAACTCTCTTAATTCGTCAATTGATAATAATAGTTTGGAAACACGAGAGCATATGGTTGAATTTGATGACTTCCAGACTCATCGGTTAAAACATGACAAATGTAAAGCAGCGAAACAAGCTTCGCCATCAATTCCAACATCACCACTAGAATCTAAGTAATAATGTTCAAACGAGCAAAAAACTGAAAAAGATAGTTGCAGTCAAAGCTGCTGAAATAGAAACTGAAGTTAATCAAATGTTACGAGCAACAGTTGAAGCAAAAAGGGTCGAAACATATTAAGATAACAATCGACATAACAGACTTAATCATAGACGATAAGAAAGCAACAACAATCGAAGCGATTAGTGTAATCGTACACAATACTATAACAACAGACGAAATCATCGATGATAATACAGCAACAACCGAAATGGTAGAAATAATGCTAGAATTACAGAGATTAGTAGAATAAAAACATTTATAACTTCAAATAGATTTAATATGACCAAGATTTGATGAAAGTCTTTTTCTCTTTTTTTTTCATTACTGATCAGTAGTTGCATGCATTTAGAAAACTTGAAGAACATGTAATGTTAGCATTATTTACTCATAAATCAACTCATTGAAGTTATATAAAATAATCACTCGCATATGCATGAAATGATGGTTTCCATGTGGAATTATGCTTCACATTCAGTCATAAGTCAAGGGTATGAGTGTGTGTGTCTTTAGTTCAACTACACGTAGACTCACATCCATTGATCGATCGATCTGACTACTTTTCATGGATAAAAAAAATCTAATCAGTTTGTTAGTCTTTACTTTGTCACAATTTAATCAGATTTCTACAAAAGAATTTTTACTTAATACTAGTGCATAGATATCAGAGATCTGCAATTCGCTTAAAAAAGAGCCTCGCCTCACCTAGAACTTAATGTAAAAACAGGCGTATTCTGATGCATTTTAGCCTCATCTAAAAGTTACTATCTCTTGTATTTCATAAGAGTAAACAAAGTTATCTCGAGTGGTGAAGATCTCCCAATTCTGAGAAATTTTCGTTCCTTCCCAGTAAAATTTCAGAAATTTTTCGTTTTTTCGCTCGCCAATTTTCAATATATTGCTCGATCTTCCCTAGTTTTGTTCAATTTTAGTAAAACTTTTCTTATCGATCCCATAATTTATAGATGCTCCCAACCCGTGTGACTTCGGCATACTCCAGAGATGAAATGAAATAAAATATAGGGTATCTGGAACGTCATTGACGAAAAAAGAAAAGTTCATGTTTCCATCATGTTTCTGTTGGATGAACTTATTTTTGTCATAATGGTAGAGGACAATTCGACGTTTTTATTCAATTGCATAGATTTCTCAAATATTCTTACAAAGTAATGCATTCAGGTTGAATGCACAAATGAAAGTCTTTTTCGGAGTGATAAAGAACAATATATAGAAATATGTCGACTTTATTGCATTTTATCTTATATTGCATATTATTTTTTTATATCTCATACAAGTACCCTTTTGCATATTGAACCAAAAAATGTTACTTATAAGAATATATGAGATATCGATACTATGTAATAAAAAAAGTTTTCTTTTTCGTCAATGACTTTCTAGACATTTTATACTTTTAATTCATATGAATAGTTTCAACAAAACCAAAAATAGATATTGAGACCAACATAATAACTATGCATTGTCAACCTCGTTCATACAGGCAATTAAAGTGAGTGTTAAAAAAAGTGCACAACTATCAATTATATAAATCCAGCGTTGAATAAATAATTGAATATGTAAGTAATACAAAAGACATTTGAAACTCTATCCTGATTCGATTCGACAATTTTCTTTTAAGGTTTTGATTAGCATGTTCATCATCATCAAACAATAACTAAAAACAAAATACACAAAAATATTATCTGAATATAGATTCAAATAATTTTTTTATGTATTCTCTCTCTTTATTTGAAATATTATCTTGTTAAATCATTTAGTTGAATATAAATCCATGTAATTGTTCTCTGTATTTTGTGTTGTTGTTATTATTGTATATCGATGATAGTAAATGTACTCACTAGAAGCTCTACAAAACTTTCGAGTTCTCGATCAAGTGTAAGCATGTTTTCTAGAAACACTACTGAATTATTTATTAAACTATCATATATTCTTCTCTTCCTGCTACATCTTTATACATGATGCATTTATATTTTCGAATCTATTATATCTATTTATGCAGCAAAAACTATATAGTGAGCAGACGGATAGCTCGTCGAGTTTCCCCAGGTCGATCGTTCCGGCCACCGGATATTGCAGGAACCGGCAGGAAAATGCGGGAAAAATCACCGTATCCTGCAGGAAAACACCGGAAATAGCCGGAACATGGAAGCAGTAGTCCGGCCGGAAATTCTCCGGATTTTTTCCGGTGAATTCCGGCCAATTTCCTGTGTTTTCCGGCAGGAACCGAGCGGAAAATCAGCGGAAAAAATTCCGAAAATTTCCGGCCGGAATACTGCTTCCATGTTCCGGCTATTTCCGGTGTTTTCCTGCGGGAACCGGCCGGTACTTTTCGACCTGGGTCGGATCTCCGTTCTGTAACTCTTGAACGAGCTGTCATCATGTAAACCCAATGGTGACGCAGCACAAATCTGCAAGAGCAAGATGACTTTTTCCAGAAAAAGCTAAGTCTTACAGTTTGTTAGCGGATGCAGATAATGTATCTATTTTCAAACATTAAAACAGAATTCTTATTCATCAAACTAAAATGTATACTAACCTTCAAATAGTGACAGAATAGTAGCAATTTAACAATCATTCTGCCAAAAAAAAAATATTCACATGTCAGTTCCTAACAATAATAACCGATCTGCTTTGGAAAAAAATCTATTTAGCTCAGATGCAATTATTTTTTTCGTATTCTTATATAACTTCTTTTGTGATTTATTATTGAGTAAAGTAAGACAACAAAAAACATCGTTAGTTTTCAACGAAAATTAATTTATTTCGAGCCTTCCGCTATTATCAATTGTTGTCATTAGGAAATCACTAAGGGAAAGTCCAACAAACTATATATACACAAATTTACAATTGAAGATCAAAGAAAAAGATCAAATAATTACAATTTGTCAATAATATAATGAATAATTATTCTATTTTTTTCAAATTGTAATTATTCTATCTTTTTCTTTGATCATTAATTGTAAATTTATATATATATAGTTTGCTGGGTTTTCCGTTAGACATTGTCTAATGATGATAATTGATAATTGTGCAAAACTCGAAATAAAATAATTACTGTTAAAAATTCAAAATATTTTTTGTTGTAGAACTTTACTCCATAATAAATCATATTTATTCAACTGTATCTTCTTCAAATTTCTTTTCTGTTTAAACATTTAAGACTTAGTTTTATTTTTACTCCATAATATTTACGGCGAGGGTATGGGTGTGGATGTAGATTCACGATAAGGTTATTTGTATCCAAAATCTCACCTACATCTTCGGAGTGAAATAGCCAATGTTTCGTATATTTCTTCATGAATTGTCTTTTGCCAACATAATCTACGAAGAATTTTAGCATTATTTCATCGTGCATCCTTAAAGCAAAATCTTTGTAGATTGTATAAACACGGCAGTTCTTTTTTAATTTAACATTACATTTCTTCTCGAAACTGCAATATTTTCCCAGCAGTTCTCGTCACTCACCGTCATTACTTTCCGCATTAAATTATTTTACTATGCATCAATGTACTGCTGAATGCAATCGTGCAACACTTTGTTCGATTGACAACAAGAACAGTTTCCCAGTTAGAACTCATACGTAAACCTAAAAAAAATCAAATTTTCATTGTTTATATACAAATACAATCCAGACTATTTGCACAACAAAAAGCTACACCTATGTACTATAAAATAAATTGAGTGCAATGAAGACACTCTCATATCCATATTTCCACAGACTTGGTTTTGTTATAATAGAATTACTTTTAAAAAAAAAAAGGTAAACATATACTATGATAGCGATTGAAATTTTCTATTTTTCTACACATTTGTCTACTGTGCTGCATTTATCTGATACAAAAATAATTTGAGTGTAAGGGAAACACCTTAATTGACATGAACAAAGAATATACAACTTTCGCTTCTTTATTAGTTTTCACTGTCTAATTATAGGTACTATCGAAATAAAATTTTAGAAAAGAAATTATAATTTCTGTTAGAGCTTCGAATTCTCTATCATCATACATTTTTGGTCCTCATGTTTCAGTTAAGCATTGAAGAATAAGTTGATTATGATGCAGGCACGTTCCTTGACACATCATAAAAGAAATGGATTTTTTAACCATAACTTTTCTTTTTTCTAGAGTTCAGTATGATCGAGAATGTAAAGCAATAGTATGTATGCTTTAAGAAAGCATAAAAAGTAGCAAATTTTCGTACATATCAGTTGTGTCTCCCTTGTACTTAATAAAAAATACTGAACTTGAGATGCATCGAATTAATAGACGTTCACTATAGAGACGTATATAAATCAAGATCTATTTGATTGACGATCCAGAAGCTTCGACATAAATGAAAAAGCTCAATTTAAACACGTATAGCTGACTAGAAATCTAGACAGTGACATACTCGACACATCTACAATCTTAAGATCATCCTTACGATAGTATGCTCTATCAGAAGGAATTTTACGGCATTCAGAGTAAATTTTATGAAATACGTCCTAAAAGGAGTATTGCAGTACATAGGATACAACTTTGTACCTTTTTAAAGATGATGTAGAAATGTGACCTATAATACACCTAGCTTTTGATTTAATTGAGGCAATTTTTTATTCATAAAATTTGACAAAATTTAGTAACAACATCAAATTTTACTTCACGATAATAGTAATATTTGTTTGCAACATGTATACAGTGATGACTAGAGTAAAAAAAAGGTTTGAGTGGAGTTCATATGGAATTATAATTTGTAACGTTCGATAGATGATTGAATTGCTAACCAAGACCCTTGCTACATTTATTCTAACGTTTTACGATAATAAAGTTTTTTTTTTTTGACATGGCAATTTTGGTCTAAGTGGCAGGTGGAATGGAAGAAGTATCATTTGTTTGCTACATATACTTCAACATCTATTAACAAGTGTGTTTCGCAAAACAGCTATAAATACACTCACTTTCCAATTTTTAAAATACTGCTATTTTCATTTTTCGATAAACCAATCGAACTAAATCCATAAACTCATTTCGAAACACAGTTCCAGTTAATGTGTAGATATAAAATGGTATTCCAAAACTCATAAAACTCAGAAGATAGAATATCTGAAAACAAAGATTTTCAATGGTTGACCTCAATAAACTTTTTGGGACAGTTAATGTCGATGTCAAATAGAGACGTTGAATAGCTAATGGGATGTTGAATATAGTCAATAGGATAATTTGAACAATTAACATTCGAATCAATTGTCGATCTGTCTTCTTAATTGTCATTGTTGTTCCATGTGTAGTAGCCATCGGTGCAATTGAACGAAGTAATTTTCTCACATTTTGTACAGTTGCATATCCAAATATCATCATAATGGTTGATGGTATAAAAACAAATGCAAGTGCCGAAGCAATTTCATTGTACAAACGACATGTCATATGTTGACCGTAACATGTTAATGGAGAATTTCGAAGATTTGGTACGTAACAATAGAAAGTTTCGCCAAATACCAATGATCCACCAACAACTGAAACAATCATTAATCTGCGTGTAAAACGAAGATTGCTTAGATTCCGACGACGCACATCACGACAACTTATACAATATCGATCGATAGTGGCACAAGTCAAAATCCAGGATGAAGCCGTTGTTGATACCCAAATAATGAATGCTCGCAATTTACAAATAGTAGCATCAGTTGCTGATATATCAGACGAGAAAGTTGCAAAAACTCGACTGATTAAACCTGAATAAAGAGCAATTAAACCGGCAATGGATGCATAGAAAAAATAGACAGCACATGGATTTGTTCGATGTTTTGGTTGATGAAATATGATCAAATTCAAAATATTTCCAATAGTACCGAATAAAAGAACACATATTGTCAAATAGCGATTGATTTGAAATGTAGCTGCTGTCAATGTAGAAACGATACTGGTAGACGTTGCATTCGACATTGAGGTCAAAACAAAAAGCCTTCGTCATTTAAATAATCATCGCGTGATATGTCAGTCTTTTCTGATTAAGCTACTATTTGGTGAGTGACATCGTGATTAAATATTACTAGCTGCAGAAGCACAATTTTAATGACAAAATGGACCAATAGCTTATCGCTGCTTTCTATAATTATGTTTATTGCGCTAATTTATATCTTCAGCAGGCCTTAACTTCAAACACCATATAGGTGCATATAGGGCAGCGCAAGATAGATAGAAATGAGTACAAGAAAGAATAATAGAGAGAGGAAGAAGAGAATAGAGGCACTGTAAAAAAAAAAAGAGAAAAGATTTCCGAAGAATTAATTATACTTTATGTTACTCATACAAGAGATCTCTTTAAAGATTTAAAAGTCACTCTATTATTTACGCAATGACATAAGACAAAAAAAAGATTGAACGACACACAACATATTCAGAATAGGATATTTTTACATTCCAAATCGATTAGCTTCAACATTTCATAGAAAATACAAAACAAAACAAGGATTGAATGCGAACGAGGAACACAGTAATATTCATTTTCACAAGTTCATTTAGTGTCTATAAATATTTTTCACAGCATAGGGAATACAAAAAATTAGCTTCACAGAATTCATAATAGTTATAAAATCATCAGGTGCTTTCATAAATATCTCTATTCTTATAATATCAATACATTAAAGACATAAAAAACAAACGTATAGTTCTCATATAAACTACAAAAAACGTCAATCAATTTTTAATAAACTCAAGCACATTTTGGGCCATGCACACTTAAACAACATGAAACAAGTTGCAGCATACAGAAAATTGAATCTAATGTGGAAATGTTACCTAGATTGATTTTTTTTCTTACTTTACCATCAGAATACTTTTACATTTCACATATAAACAAAAGATGGAGAAAAAAGGAAGTATATAATCCGAATGTTAATTCAAGAACCCTGGAGAGCAACTCATTTTCTACAAATTCAGTCTTCTTTGTAGTGACTCTGCATAAACAAAAGGAAAGCAGCTTCACATTTCATAGGGTGTGTCAGTAAGGTGTGTGTGGATGAAACGACGATCAACTCAAACCCTTGTGCTTCACACATATTACATATAAAGCACTCCCATTCTTTCATATTGTATTTGGCTCGAAATGAAATGAAAGTGGAAATAAATGTCGTAGTTTTCTTTCGATTCCTCCCTCCCTTTAATCAAAAATTTCTTTCGAGATTTTTTTCTTTTCTCATTTTCATTTTGATGCTCTTCAACATGTTTATTGGGAACAAACATATGCCTAAAGTTTGTATTACTCTTATACTCGAATTTCATGAAAACCCGAATGGTGCATCAAATTCATTTGATTCAAACCGACGTTCTCTTCTTTTGAAACGATGGCTTAGGTAGCAGCAAATACACAAAATGAATGTAACTCATTCTACAATATATAAATAAATGCTGAATGAGCCATCCAACTTGTATTGCTATGTTGTTTCGCCAATCGGATTACTTAGTTTAGTATAAAATTGAATAGGGCATATTGATTTATTGTCTGCTCCTTTTACAAGTTACTGTGTGGGTGCGAGTGGTTGCAGGGTGTGCGTATGGGTGAACATTAGGCTTATATCCATCTACACTGAAACCCACACACCTACGCACCCACTCCACATCTACAATTGCACTCATTTCCCGCATCCACACTCTCTTTCATTGATTCTCTTATTAATTCAAACTCCTCAAAACTTTCTTCATCACATCGATCAAATGACAACTAATTTAAACTCTAAATGAAGAAGAAACAAAAGTGGAAAATAAAACCAGTAGTAAACTTAGTCTAGAAACATGTACTTGACTAGAATAAGCCGCTTCATTACATTCGCAACACCATCTACATAATAAATTATTATGGAAACACTTGTATCAAGTAAAGTTCAATTTACAATTTCTACAAGTATCAAGGCGAGAATCAATCGGCTGGCCACTTAGATCAGTTCATTTAATCTTGAATTGATCATTATTGAATGTTTTTTCGTAACTAGAAATGAGCATCAAGTGAATCTAATAAATCTTGATGAAATACCATTGTTGAAGGTGATAAACTTGAAACCATGCTTTTTTGAACTCGATCTTTAAATCGTACACAAACAACTGAAATAGGAAGAAACAAAACAATAAATATTGTTAAAGAAAAAAGATAACTAAAAGGTCAGAAAAGAAAAGGTTTTCGAAAGAAGTAGATTTTAAAAAAATATTTTCGTATTATTAAGGTCTTACTTATTGCTCGTAGTTATTTGAGTTAGTAAGCTATTTTATTGAGTGAACAACAATAAACTAAAAGTCGCTCGACCAGGTGGTTTCAGAGCTTATTTGATAATAGACAAGTAATGTGTTGGATCATCAAAGAAAACTTGAAAAATTTTTTCTTCAGTAACATTTTTAATGAATTATGTCATGTCACATCCTGAGAAAGCATATATATTGATATATGTATGCTTTTTAGTACGTACATTAAATGACACGACTACTAATTGGCTAATTATAATACTTGGGCTGAAGACAATGGCAAGTAAAACAATATCAGCACTAAAGCACAAACATATGCCTTCATTCTTGTTTTATATTTATCAGCAAAAGACTTATACAACTAAACTACAAGACAACATTTGCTCAACTCACTCTGTTGCTAGAACCATTATTGATTTTTCTTGTTGATCAAGACTACTAATATTCGTGTATAACATTATACGAATGTCGACTTAAGAGAATAATTAGAGATTGGCATCATGCCATTCTGTAATATAATTATTGTTGAATCATGTCTGTCTATCCCCAAAATATGATCTTTAGGCAAACGTTTAATCAAAGTTGGTTCCATCCAACAGTCTTTCACACATGCAGCCAGCGCAGCTCGATACGAATGAACAAAGTTGGGAAAATTTGTTTTAAGTTTATCATTGTCCCTTAATTGATAAGTATATGTTTTTATATTATTGCTGTCTTTTGATAATCATTATAACCGTCTTGCTTTGACAGAATCAAAAAGGATATCGATACGATCCTAAAGGCAATTATGAAAGTTTGACCTTATTTGTAATCGAAATAAAAGTGGCGTGTATTTAAGATAAATACCGAATATTATTTTCTAATAATTGAATAACATAATCTCTTATTGTTCGTGTTTCTGATCAAGGCATGGTTTCTAATAAGCTTTCGTCATCATTACAAGAGCTATTTGATGTATAACAATCGGATAAGAAGAAGACAAGAATGATGGATACATTTAATCATTTGCATGTTATCTATTTGGAGAATATTCGATATGTGAATCAATTGAATTTGTTTCTGCTTCCATACCACATATTTCATGTTGATTAGCTGTGATAAGAGCTTGAAATGCGAAAGAATATGTTCAGTTATCAATTGCTTAATCATTCAATTGACCACTAATGCCATCTTTTGCTTCTCCATACTTATTTAATGTACATTCAATAGTTTGATCAAAAGAAATACTTAAATATGTTATTCATTGTCTATATGAAAGGAAAATTGATCTTACTAGAAAATCTTCGTTATGATTGGATGACAGCAAAGGTATGTAATAATCGATTATATAAATAAGAAGAACATATTTGTAAATCTCACAAATGTTGAGTACATAACTAACTATTTAATTGCAATGGTTTGTTTAAAAAGAATAATGGAGCGAATCGATTATGAGTAATATTTCAGCCTTGAAAGTTACAAGTTCGTATAGAAATATATAATTTGAGTGAAGGGCGTAGTAAATCATGAAGAATTTTTCACAACACGGACAGTTGTCCAAGCTTAAAATAATGATAAATTTTCAGTTTGTTTTATATTACTAAGTAGAAGTGTAAAGCATTTTTCGAAGGTTTCATGTGTGAAAAACTGAAACAACGTTTGTTCAATGCTGAACTTCTGCTGATTGAAATAATGAATCGCTAATACACTCGACTTATTCTCATCGAAAAATGCTTTCAGCAAAAGTATTTGAACTGAAGTATATAATAATTTACAGCATCTCAAACTTTTGTTGAAGTGAGTGACGCTGAAAAGCAGAAAAAGAAATATTAGTTTTTCTGTACTAGTGCATTATGAAATAGGCAATACTATTTATGATTGTATACATTCTAATTATAATACTCACTTAGATACAGTACGTAAACTGGCTCCTTTGTCTATAATACCAAATAGATCTTCAAGTTTAGATCCTTGAAGAACATTCCATATAACAATCATCATATTTTTCATTAAATGAAAATCACCGATATACACGAATACTTGTTGAAAAAGATCAGACTTTTGTTGCTTACCCAGTGAACAATAATAGACGATGATAGACTAAGAATGCACATTTCAAGATTTATTTCCAAACACGATTGTTAAATGTTTTTCATCCAAAACTAAAATAGTCGTTAGCTGATGATTCAAACGCTGAATATTTTACGTGTATGTTGAAGAAATTTTTCAACTGTTGATTCTGCATATAGGGATCTTTGTTTATAGGAGTAAGAAATGAGATTGATTGAAGAGGTCCTTGTTTAAATGATAAATGACAAGCAATGCAAAAATAATGGCACAAAATATCAGTCGTTATGTCTATTCAATCAAAGAGTACAGAAAGAAAACTTTTTAACCAAAATGATAGAGCCTTTTCTCCTCTTTCAAATAGTGTATGATTAATATTTATCACAGATGCATCAATAAAAGGGCATGAAAACAAAAGTGAAGCAATAGCGCAATAAATTTGTAATTTTTATATGAACTCGTCAAAATCATCTTGTTAGACAATAATTAATTCGATTTTTGTGGATTTATTGAAAAGATCTTGTGAACCAGTGATTACTTTGACTTTTATGAAATCGTTCAAAATATTCTGTGAAATGATAGAAGTATGAGTGTGAGTAAGAAAGATTTTCAGTCATACCCATACCCACACCCACATCCAAATTACATAAGTTATTAGTTGATTGAATTTATTGCAGAATTTATATTTTTTTTCTCTGATAAAAATGTCTTTCAAGGATGTGAATGTTGTGAATAGCTGTGTCGCCGTTATTTCTCTCTTCATGAATATCTACATGACCATCCATATCCACACCCAAAATGATAAATATTCAGGTTCGGAAAACACTACTTATGTAATTCTACATAGGAATGTTATAGATTTTTCAAGCAAAGTTCGATATACAGCTTTTCTCCAGGAAAACTAATCTACTGAACTTTTTCATGGATAGGAGTAGATACAATAAAGTGAGCAATCATTTTGACACATAATATTTATCTTCAACTGTTTCGGATGAAGTTGGATTTAGTTTTGGTGGTGCTGTTATGGCTATCATGAATTGAACAGTTATTTCTTGAATTTGAGATAATGATTCATTTTCTTTACAAATTTAGTATTTTTCCTTGACACGTTTGATTAAAAAAGTGTCCTAAATTGGTCGAGTGCAAAATTTTTCTTTTCACCTCAGTGGTTGACAATGCTAATGAGTTCTTTCATGGAGGTGAGTAAGCAATATAGAGAACCCACATGCCCCGTTTTCTTAATGTTGAAGTGTGAGTTGCAAGACGAGACAGAGAAGAACATTTTTCTGACGTATTTCATACAAATTCGCGGCCCGACACGTTGCAAAGTTGTTTTTAACCACATCTGGACGCAGTTTATAACAAAACCGCGTTTGAATGCCGCTATCCTGTGGTTGGTATTTATGTGAGAGCGCGTTTGCATGCGGTTTCATAGAAAACCGCGTTTAGACGCAGTAAAAATCGATTTTAGCCGCGCCTGAACGCAGCTTACAATAAAACCGCGGTGGAACACGCATATCCTGCGTTTGGTGTTTACATGGGCATGTGAAGATCTATTTTGGACGAAAAAAAAAACAGAACGAAAGAAAGAGTATTTATAAAAAGCGATAGCAACACTATCTGAATTGGTTATCTGTTTTGTCAACGTAAGAATCCGTTCACCGTCAAGTTGCTTTGTTTTTTTTTCAGATTTCATCATGGGCGAATTCACAGCCGATGACAATCAAAGTTTCAAAACTTAACATCGAAAAAAAACTTTGTACGTTAGTTGAATTTATGTTTTTCTAAAGGCTTAGGAATGATTCTAATAATACACGAATATATAATAAATCATAAAGGTAAAAAATGTAGATAAAACATGCGGCCAACGAAAATCAAGTTAGTATTTGAAATCTTTGACTTTCATTGAAAGATATCTGTTTGTATTTATACATCAATCTCTCAGCTATTTGTTTTTTTCTCATTTGCAAAATGATTTGATTGATGATCTGTTCAGATAAAAATTTAAAAAAAAACTGTAAAAGTGTGTCGATTTAAGATGGTTCCATTTTTCTTCAAGAAGTTTAGCATGTCTTTTATTACAAATTCAGTTTTTAATTTGAGTGTATCCCAGAAGGAGAAAATCATATTTCATAGGTTTGAGTTGCTTAAACTAGAGACTAGATAAATTAGTTACTTCAATGTTGTTATCATTTTCAAAGTAATGACTTTTTATTGGTTTTATTTTGATCCATCAGAATCTAATCATATTAAATATATAATTTTTTTGAACATTAATTGTGAAATAAATTTCGATAGATTAAAATCAAATTCATCAATCATTTGCTTCAAGATTAGGGTACGACTTACATAACTAGATATCCATCTAAATTACATTTTAAGTAAGTCAGGAGGTAGATGTAAGTGGGTGTGGTGTGGTGTTTATTTCAAACTTACCAATAGTTAATTGGGTTTATATTGTACAAATAGCAAAACAAATTAACTGAGCACGTTTTTATACATTAGTTCTATCATTTACACAGAAAATGCTTTCTTTTACAATTTTTACTTCAATGTTATTACTATCAATATAGATAATAGACCGTGTGAAAAATGAAATTTATTATAGATTCAACTTTGTAAACTATTTTCCTATGTTTATTGAAATTCTCATTATTTAAATAGTATAGTTAAGCCATCAAATAACAGTAGCTTGTTTATTTAATCAAAAGATATTATGAATATGCATATTGATGTCAACACTAAAGTAGAAAAAAAGTACTAAGTATATTTAATATATAATCGAGATTGTAAGAATAATAAGTCTGGTGTTAAATTATTAACCTGTGTTTAAATGTATTTAAAAGATAAACATTTAAATTTTGTTCAAGTAAATCTCATGGTATTGAAAACATGTTCTAAAAGCCAAAAAAACAAAGAAACTAAATAGAAATATAATTTTATATTTACTTTGCTATATGATTATTTTCTGATTCTTTATCTTCACGAAGTTCCCCTCCTGGCGAAGTCACTCGAATTCCAAGGGTGCGTGGGTGTCGATTATCTAGAGACCCACATCCATCCCTCCAGAATAAGCACTCAGGAAGGTTCAATTTATCATACTACTGAGTCCAACGCTGGTGTTTGTTTTTAAGTTCGAAATGAAGGCTTCTTTTTTCTACATATTTTGAAATCCTACAATCAGTCCTCATCTAAAGAAAAAAGTCGACATTTGAGCAATATTGATATAACATAGTCAGATAATTTTCGGGCGTGGGTGCAGATGTCTGGATATTGAGAGAAGGCAATACCCACACACCATCCACCCTACTTAATCGTTATTAGAGAAATATTTTTCATTCAATTTTTTGCCATGAGTATCCACAGGTGATTTTTTCAAAAATATTGATCTTTTGACAAGGCTTATTTTCATTTCGATGATATATTAATTAGACTTGGGACTGACAATCACATAGATGAAATAAGTCTTTATTAAAAAAACAAAATGTCATGCCTATATAAAAAATAAAAACTGTCCATTGTGTGTGGGTGTGCAGATGTTTAGTCTCTTCACAGACTCACATTGCACACGCATATATGTTAAAAATTTCATTTGCTTATATTTATTCAACATTTTTATTCTATTGCCAAATAGAAGCTATTCCATTAGATCCTCTCTGATGGTGTTGATGGCAACAAAATTCTATCGGAAGTAACCGGAAATCTAGTGATCAGAAGTGAGATAGTCGGATTCAACTTAGTGCTAGGAAGTTCTGATGAGATTCCATTCATTTTCGTCGGGTGCTGGCAAAGTTCGATGAAATCTAAATCGGAATCCTGGTCATTGTATTGTTTGGCCTGGATTTCTTTGAGTTTCCGCTTCCAAAAAAGGAGACGAGGATGATTTGAAGGCAATGAAGCTTCTCCAATTTCGACTGCTTGGTTCTGATATTTAACTGCCTTCGGATATTTTCTCATTTTATAATAAACCCAAGCGATGTTGTTGTAAGAATCAGCTAATTTCGGCTGATTCAGATGTGGCATTTGTTGTCGAATTTCATGTCCTTTTTTCAAGAATGAAAGCGCTTTTGAATAATCGTTCATCTTATTGTATACTACACCGATGTTATTGTACGAATCAGCTAAATTCGGATGATTAGATAGTTGTATTTGCTGTCGAATATCAAGTCCTTTTTCCAAGAATGAAAGTGCTTTTGAGTAACATCCCATATTATAGTATATTAAACCAAAGTTATTGTAAGAATCAGCTAAATCAAGATGGCTTGGTAGTAGCACTATACTTCGAATTTCCAGTGATTTTTCTTGAAATTGAAGCGCTTTAGAATATTTTCCTACATTGTTCAACACTACACTAATGTCACTAAAAGAAGTAGCCAAATCTGGATGGTTTCGAGGGAGTATATTCAGACGTATTTCACACGCTTTGTCATGGAATGAAAGTGCTTTTTCATACTCTTCTAAATTACAATACACCGAACCAATTTTACTGTAAGAATCAGCCAAATCGGCATGGTTAGAAGGCAGTATTTTGTGAAGAACTGCTAATCCGTTCTCATACCATGAAATTGCTTTTGAATATTCTCCCAGATTAGCATATACGAGACCAAGATTTGTGTAAGATGCAGCTAAATGAGGATCATTAATAGCGGACTTCTTTTCGTATACTTGAATTGATTTTTGAAAATAAGAGATCGCTCCTATGTAGTCACCCAGCTCGATTTTTATCATTCCAAGTTGATAATAAAAATTCCATGTTTCAAAGTCATCATTAATTTGTTTCAGTGGCATCAAGCACAAATGAAATGCTTTTTCAAACCCGCATATTTTTCTTAGCAAATTACCCAATCGATGATATTCTGTTGGTCCTTGGATTTCATTTCTCATGAATTCAGTTAGAGAGCTCCAATAGCCATCGTTATGTTCCATCATTGTAAGTTGTACTTGCCAAAATCGAGATTCTTTATCCATTTGTTGAATACGTTCAATTCGAAAGACACTGTGTGTAGTAAATAGTACTGATTCATGACTTGAATAATATTGTAAATCTCGAATATTTGCAAATGGAGTCGATGAAATCGATAGATCAACAGTGATCACAAATAACACTCTAACAGATTCTTGGTTTTCGGCTGTCTGCCTAGCATTGGCAATAGAAATAAGACGATCTGGACTAGTTGATAGAAAGTGGTTGAACGACAAGAGACCGCCTACATGTGATTTTAATTTTTGTAAATCACTTTTTGGTAGTCCTTGGCCACGGTAGACAGTCAATAATTTTCCTTTGCCTTTCTTGAACTGTTCGGAGTGAAGTTTTCCTAATTGTTCATGAAGATCGCGAATAAAGAAACCTAACTTGATGATTGCTTCAAAATCTAGAGTTTCCAAGGAGTGCTGAAGCACTGAGTAGAGAAAATGCGGTGCTGTATACCACCAAATGGGTGAATGTTCATGATATTCTTGTTGAAACTGTTCGATGTCCCGTTTTGGGAATTCGTTACCATGCGAATCACGACAATAGGCGACAAATTCTTGAATTGATCGTTTATCATGTTTCATAGTAATAAGAATTTCTTTCAGTAGAAATGTGTACATGTAACTTTGATCGATAAAATCCATGTTCTGATCTATCGCCTTGTTATTCAGAGTAATCGAGGTATCGATAGAGTCGTTTTCGATATTTTTTGCAGCGATTTTGATTAATTCACAAATCGCTTCGAAATCTGTTTCAATACCTTTAATTTTGGACCAGTTCTTTGTCCACTGTTCATGCTTTGCCGTGTCTCGACAGAATACGAATATTGAATAGATTTGTGGCAAATGATGAATGTGAACAACTATACTTTGACCAAGTGATCCAGTTGTCACCAGCAATATTTTTGTGTCTTTTACTTTGTTTAAAAACTTGATGCATGTTGCAGCATCAGTGAAAATTTTCACATCATTCACAATACTCTGTATTTGACTAATTGATTCAGAATAATATTGATGTGATTCGTTGATTTCTGAATCAAGCCAAATAGCAATAAGATCTAAAACGATACAAGACTCAACGAGATAGAATAAAAGAAAAATGCCAAAGTCATTGAGAAATGTTTTATTTAAGTTCATAATTCTATGATGTTCTAGAGTCGAAATTCTACTACCTTATTATGAACTCCTGCAAATATAACTCTGTCAGTAAAAATTATGGTTTGATGTCATCAAAGAATAGGCAACATCAAAATTTCGATGCCATTTTCGATTTTCATAAAATCCATATTCAAAAGAATTTTCAAAATTTCTATTCCTGGAACGAAAATGACATTGTTATCCACTTTGATCATGAGAACAAGTATTTTTGATCAAGATATATATTAGTCCTACCTGGTTTTGATGTTATGCTAATCGTATTCATGACTGCTGGTAATGCTTCATTATTCTTGTCCGTTATTTCTACTAGATGCACAACTTTTAGACCATCATTAAGTTTTAAATCATCACTTTCCACACTTAATCGAGTGCCTGGACCGAGCAATACTTCGTTTTCATCTGGATGCTTTGTATAGCCACTCAAACTTCTACCGTTCACCGCTTCAACCATGAAGAGTGTAGCATTGGGATCGTTGCCGAGAAATTCTTTGATGATATTAAGTGTGGTTGAGCAAGAACTCACACTTCGCCAAATTATTTCACTACCTTTAATAAAATTCTGCTTGACATTATCTTTCGTACCACACCAAAGACGTTTTTTTTCTTTGGGCAGTTTTGTAAGTGCAATTTCAAATAATTTGAGATAATTAGCCCATGGTGTCAATGCAGATGGGTCTTCCGATCGCAAATCTTTATTCAACAATTGATATAAACTATGAGCACCCCATTCCATGGTATAAAGATAAATCGAGGCTGATTCGTCATGTGTAAGATTGTGCTCGGATGGGAAATGGCATTTTTCTAAAGCTTCCTTGATATATTGATGCAAATGGTCAATACGAGGCATGATGGGTTCAAGAGCATGTTCAAGTGAAAGTAATGATTGATGTCTATAACTATAGTTTGGTGGAATTTTCTTGTCATTAAGATCAATGTCGAGAAATCGACTCATTACGCGTTTTATATCTTAGAATAAACAAATTCACTATTAGTCTTGTTAAAATGACATACAGAAATTCACAAAATAATCGTCTTTTTAAGATGGCGTGGTTTTCAGTTGATGATGTTAAAAATGAACTATTAAATCGTTTAACCTATTGACTAAATCACTTTGGTTCCAAGACAAGATAAATAATCAATAGCTGGTAAAGGTTCCACAAATCAGTTTGATGATAACTATGAAATTTGATAACTTTTGCCGTATACTATGACACGATAGTAACGTTTTTGATGAACTATAATATTGACAATAACGATCAGGTCGAAAGTTTTCTAACGAGACTCTTGATTGATTTATACTATATCTATAATATTCAACAACAATTAATAGCAATTAACTTAATACAAGAAGCTTAGGTTGTTTTCGCAAGTAAATTTTTTGATGGTTATTAATCTATTGAATTAAAAAATTCAAGTTACAATAGTGATGAACAGATTTCCAAAGTTTTCCCATGAGAAAAACCAATTTTCAGAAATTTTATCTTCATAGAAAGAAAATTTCGAAACTCGTCGATTATGTAAAAGTGAAATTTCCACTATTAATCTTAAAATTTTGAGGCTATTGTAGAATTTTACGAAAGCAATTTATTTTTTATTAAAAATAATAGTGTTTGTAGTTAATCGCAAATGAATAGTTTTTTCGAATTCTTTTGGAACACTTAAGATATGCATGTATTCCGAGTCCGATCAATTCCATTTACGATACGCGTTTTTGGCTGAAATTGAAACCAAATTAGAATTAACGTATTTTGGTCCTACTGACTAAATTATTGTGAAATTCATTTTAGCTGAAGTGCTTATTCTCTATTGTAGAGAAGGCCTAGGTGTTAAGGAGGGTCTTTCTTTCGTTCACACATACAAAAACTACCGTAATTACTGATACTGACATTCACACCCAATCATGGTCAATCTCTAACTTATCTTGAAAATAGTTACAGATAAATACTAGATTGAAAAGAAAAGACAAGATAGAAAACTGAATCAAGGAGACCACTATTTAAAAATACATGTATGAAATGATCACTCTCATCGGTCTCATGTCTGTCTCAATTGCTTCTGATGTCTAAATCATATTGACGCTACTTGCGCATTATCTGGTACCTTGTTTCTGCTTTTGAAATCATTCTAATAAGTTGTTCATCACAACAAAATGAATAACAGTCAATATAAGAAAAAAATTTTATATTGTGAATGTATTGATTAGGCTTGTAGGTGAATTTGTAACATTGTTCGCTTGATTTATCAAATGATTTTTCGTTTTTACCTTACTAGCGAGGAAACTTTATACGCTTTGTATTGTTTGTTATTTTGTTTTGTTTTCTTTGTTTTCTTCGATTTTTTCAACGACACTATCGCAAAGACTCTACACAAGATGTGCACGTTGTAAATGTAATGATTTGCATGAATGATTTGTAAGCAATGAATCTTGCAAACGAAATAAAAACAAAATTTATATTTCAATAGATATTACAAAGCAAGAGAAAGAAGAAAAAGCTGCACTATTGTTATGTTTTGAAACTCGCTTTATGTAATATCTGTATATATTGATAAACAAAAAGCTAGCAAATGAAACAAATATCAATGGCTATCTACGCATATAGTTGACAATTGAGTAATTTCAATCATTCATACTCATCTTCATATGCTTGAAATCTTTTGCTCTTGAAGCAAAAGTAGTTTAATAATATGAAGAAATCAAAAGGATTCAATGCTTACAAAGGACGATATATGATTTATTGTCTACAATAAATACATACTTATATGCCTATAAAATAACACTTTCATGCATTCAAGAAAACCACTTTGCGTAAAATAAATGACTTAAAATTCAGTAGAAATATTATGATACAAGGATTTAAAAAGGTTTTATCCATGTCTTTCAGTACAAGAATGGTATTGGGGTTGGTAGCTATTGATGGTTTTCGATGATGTCTGGTAGGCTGTTTCAAATCATGAGAGGAAACTTAATAAGGATATAGGTGTCAGCATTTCTATGATCTATTGAGATGCCACACTCATTTCCATTCTATTTCTTGTTTTAATAAACGATTCACTCAAGGATGTGTGTGAACACAACATACACCCCCGCCGTAATGCCATGCTTTGTTTTTCTTGGTTCATAAGATTTAATAAAATAGAATTCTTTTCTCAGAAAAAGTTCGATGTGTGTTGGTAGTCTTCAGATCTCAAGATGCACTTGTGCTCAGTCTCATTTATCTTGATAAAAAGTTTATCTCCTGATTGGAACGATTTATTTGAATCCAACGAGTAACTAAGTTTCATCTGTTCACTACACGTTCTGTGTGTTTCTTAACGTTCCTTCAAACAAGATAGAAAGAGTCTTAATTATAACAAAAACCGTGCTTATTTCGAAGACAATCGTCTCAACTGGTATTGTGCCACTCTCAGTAAAGAATGTGAGAGTTTCAGAACAAAGCAACCATAACGTAGCAGAATTAGGCACCATTGGAAAATAGCATGAGTGTCGAGGTGGATAAAGAGAGAACGGCCACAACACTCACACTCTCAATATTTCTTGTATAGTGACCATTGAAATATTATCATTATGTTTTTACAATTTTTTTTGATGGATTTTCGGTTTGACGGTTCAGTATAATATTCTGTACGACAAGTTTCATTTTATAAATCAAGAAATACTTGACTGTCTGTTAGATGTTGAATATTAACTACTCGCATTGACAGAGCGTCTTCAATTTTTCGTCATGTTGTAAAAGTGTTTTTCATCACTGGATAGGAACCGATTTTCTATGTGTCAAATAATTAGAAATCTCCTAGAAACTGTAGAAAAGTCTTGAATGCATCAGTATAATTAAATACAAATAGCCCTAACAAGCTGATGGACCAATCTAAATAGTTAAACAAACATTTTATTATCTGCGACTACAAATCAATAGGAAGCAGGATCACTCAAACAAATGTTTTATCAATACTAATAGTTGATATAAGAATCGCTTGAAGAGGAAATAAATGAAGCTCTAGATTGAATCGTGTTCCGTCAATCAGATAAAAGTATATATTGATGAATAGTCAACATTTGGACTCTTTTTATTCATTCAGTTTTTCATTCAAATTTACAATTTTTTTCTTTTGTTTTTTAATATGTATGTCTGAATAAAATGAGTTTCTCATGCCAGTGACAATATGAATCACATATCTCAAGATAAATATGTATAACACCATTGATTAAACATAACATAATTACTTAGAGTGCTACTACAGCCTGAATCAGAAATCGTTGCATTGTTGCGATTTAAGAAATGTAACTTGATTGAGACGACTGTCAGTAAAAAAGATCTTGTGGTACAATATCGAAAAATAAATGCTTAAGAAACATTGACCGAAGAACAAAACTGGTAGTACTCTTCTTTAGTTTAAACAGAACTATTGTACTTATAAGTATAATTCAGATACAAAGATTACTACATGAAAGAGAAGCGTTTGTGTACAGTAGAAAAATGAATACAATTTCAAAAACTTCAAGATATTACGATGAAAGCATATTGAGTTTCTCTTCTTTTGAATCATTCCTTCAGCTTCATTAATTAATTAATATTTTTGTGAGTTAGGGTATTGTGAGAATAAATATTGCAGAACAGTGACAATAAAAAAAAGACACGATCGAAAACTTTTTTTTGGAACTTCTTCCCGTCGAAAATTTGTATTTAGAGATTTTTCGGAATTCTTTTTGAGTTTTTTATAGTTATTGATTAATTAGCTATTTCAAAGATTTTCTCGGTTGTCGTCAATGCCATTTTGAAGAGTTTCCACGAGAACACTCTTGAATTCGATGCAGAAATGTTCAGAAAACGATTCCATAAAATACCAAAGAAAACAAATCCTAAAAGTATAGCTCTTAAAGATAGAATATATTTCCACTAAGAATATGAAATATTCAGAAATATCTATGTTTTAATACATCTGTATAAGTCTTAATGTAGACTAAAAAGAGCTGAACATATTGAATCAACATATATTCATTCATGCTCAGAACCTAATGAAGAATCTGAGCTTCAGCTGATTCGAAATTAAAAATCAACTCGTATCCCAAACTTAAGATTATTATTTTTCTATTAAGTTTAAGTGAATTTAACTCATTTGTATCTGTAGTTTTTTTCAATAACAAATATAAGTTATAGACGATTTCATTAATTTTCGACATAAATTATTTCCACTTAATTTATAATTTTTTAAATTATCAATTATATTAAATTATTCTCTCCGTCATTGATATTTAACTCCAGTCATAAGAGCAGCGAAAAATATGCGTTGAAGTTTTAACGAAGATAAAATTGTAAAAAGCACATAGATGAATGCATTCGTAATGAGTTAGATTTTTGTTCGTAATATACATTTGTTCAAAAACATCAACCGATTTCGAACATCTAAAAAAGTGTACTTTTTAGAATTTTATTTTCTATATAATTCCACACATTTTTTTCGTTGTGTCTCTCAGTGAGATGAATTATCATATAGAGATAGAATAATTTAATTTAATTTATAATTTTGTAAACTATACATTAGATCCAAATGCGTAACGTGTGCTCAAAAAGTAATTTAACAAAATGTTCAGTCATTCTTTGCGACTTTTTGCAGCACCTTACAAAAATCTGAAAACGACTTTTTTGAATGACAAGTTTCTAATGTTTTCGAATATGGCTTCAAATTTTTTTAAAACTTTTAGTTTAAGAGTTCTGAACTGATATTTACGAGGTCTGCACATTGACGTTGGATGAACTCTAGGCGCTAACACGTATCCGAAGTAGGAGCGAAAATAATTTCAAATACAGTTGATGAGAGAGAAAGCATTGCTTTATAAAATGGTTTGGTGATGATTACATTGCTACAAATCATTGATGAAGAGTGAGTATTTCTAGCGAGGTAAGTCATGTCAATGCATCTAATTTTCTCGATTTCTATGAATCGCAGATGTGC